TCTCCCTCTCCCTCTGTCTGCTGCTCTGCCTACTTGTGCTCTCTATCTGTGTGTTAAACAAATAAATAAAAATCTTAAAAAAAAAAAAAAAAAGAGATGTTCCTTTAATTAAATATCCCATAATATACGTATGGGTTTACATTCCCATAGACCAGGACTCTTTCTGACAGAGAGATTCAACAATATCATCAGCAGGCCTGAAGGACCATCATATCTAGAAATCAGACCCAGTGAGATGCAGACCCCAGCTGGACTCTGGGGGCTTCGGACCCTGGTGACATGTGTGCCCTGGACCAGCAGGTGGCGCTGTGGGACTGCCTTGTGCTAAAAAAGCAGCTCATTAGTGAGAACCAGTCAAAGGAGTCTGGGCCTGAGGGCTGGGTCCTGTGCTCCCTGATGGGACTCAGCAGCTGTGTCCCCTCTGGTCTGGCAGAGTGTCCCGAGGGGACCTGTGTGTGGTCTCAGCAGGTGCTTCCTCCCAGGGCTGGCCCCACGGCTGAAGCCAACCTCCATCCTCCTCAGTGTGTGATGTGAACTGAGTTCCAGCACCAGGCTCAGGGAAAGTGAGGGGTAGGGACTATCTGCATGGACCATATTTGCATATAGAGCCCCTCATGTGGCAGAGGCTGGAGGAGAAAAGGAGGCGTAGGGCAGCCCAGCCCACTGGGGAACCTGGGTCTGTGTCACCATGGCCTGGACTCCTGTCTTCCTGGGGATGCTCTTTTACTGCACAGGTAGGGATAGGCCTCGGGGAACAGCCTGCATCACCCCTCTGCTTCAGAGTCTAGAGAAAATTTGCATTGAACCTATCCAATATCCTATGAGTGTGTGTGTTGGCAGGTTCCCTGTCCCAGCCCGAGCTGACCCGGCCACCCTCCCTCCCTGCATCTGCAGGAATGACAGACAGACTCACCTGCACCCTGAGCAGGGATATCAGTGTTGGTGGCTGTAACATCTACTGGATCCAGCAGCAGTCAGGGAGCCCTCCCCGGGGTCTGCTGTACTACTCCTGAGACTCCGATAAGCACCAGGGCTCCGGGGTCCCCAGCCGCTCCTCGGGCTCCAAAGACGCCTCGGCCAATGCAGGTCTTCTGCGCATCTCGGGGCTGCAGGCTGAGGCCGAGGCGGACTATCACTGGGCTGCAGCTCAGGACGCTGGGAGCAGCTACCGCTCCTCACAGAGTCTCACATAAGGAGGAAGTGGTTCTAAAACCTCTGGACACACGGATCTTGTTTCTGAGCCTCTTTTCAGTAAGAAACTTACCTGGAGAGACATAGCAGGGTGGTCTCTTCTGCACGACGATCTATCCTTCAACAGGGAAAGAGGAAGAGTCATGTAATGCTCGGAAAGTGATATAAAATGGGGGCATCCGAGGAAGACACAGACACATGAGACATCCGAGCCCAACCTCACACCCCCACTCAATCTGGAGAAGATGGACAGGAATGAATTCTGTGTCTATGGCTGAACATACTGCCCAGCGAACATTCCTCCACAATCCGTTCTATCATCTTATTCCATAAAGTGTGACCTTGTGTCATGACTGATGTATCCACAGCTGATACATTGACAATGACCCTGGTCACAGACACAGTCTCCTCTCTCTGAACCAGCTACAGGTGAACTTGGACCGGATCCTACAGACTCTCCCTGATAACACTCCCCGCATCCTCCTCTTATCCTCTTTGCTCCTGCATCCCTCACGCTTTAGGATCCGCTCTAGGTCTTCAGTCTCACCTATGTGTCCATGTCAGGATTTCAGAGAAAACTGGAAATGATCTTGATGTATTTCCCAGTCTCCAGGGTCCATCTCTAAAGAGAAGAATGACCACAAAATTCAGTTGCTTGCAACCCCCCACATTCTCCTTCCCGCTCTCACCCCAGGCTTTATTTTGTGTTGCCAACACTCCCAGGCAATCTCTTTATTTTTTTTTAGAGATTTATTTATTTATTTTAGAGAGAGAATACAATGGGAGAGGGAGAGAATGTCTTAGGAAGATCCATGCTCAGGGCAGAGACCTTTGAGGGTCTGGAGCTCAGGACACTCGGAACAGGAACTGAGATAAACCAAGGTTCAGAAGCTCAACCTACTTCGCCTCTCTGGAACCCCCTAGTAAGTCTCTTTAATGTGAAAATAAAGTTATTACATTTTATGAAAAGAATGTATTCATCTACCTGTATGTATTTGCACATGGGATCTGCTGATTTTTACCCACTTCAGAATTAACTGATGCCCCCACCCATGGGGAGTCTTGGAGGACTCCACAGACACAGGATCGCCTGCATATTTTAAGATATGTCACTATGTATCTTATGCTCCAGATTCTCATTCCTAAGAATTGTCTGGATAGTAATTCGAGCACAGAAATATTTTTGCATGATTCATAAAGTCCCAAGCTGTAGTGATTTTTCACACACACAGAAAACCACCAGCTATATATTGTTCTCACTCCCTGGTAGACATCTGGGGACATGGGGGACTGTGGGTCTGGCTGGGATGTGGGGCAGGAAGGAGGAGGCTGCATGCTCCCTTCCACCATGTGCTTCCAGACACCTGAAAACCGCACTGTTGTAGGTCTTGTGTCTGCAGAGATAAAAAATTGACAGATTTCTTGTCACTCAACAGGACCTGGACTCCCAATTGAGTGAATTATTAACAGGTTTGCTCTCACATGAGCCCTCCTGGCCTAAATAAGTCCTTTACCAGTAAAAATCTTTGAGTTCCATACTTCTAAATGCAGGATCATGACCCTGGAGTTTTATAAAGAGAATCACCATGGAGAACTATCCCTCAGGGTGTTCCAAAGTCATAAGAGGGACAGGGGTCAGGTAGCCTCATTTTTGGTCACACACACAGACAAACACACACACCTCTCTTCCCAGTGAGTGAATAGTGTGCCTGGGCCTCTGCAGATTCCAGGCTTCTCTGTCCCTCTAAAAGTCAGGGTCAACCTGGGCTCACCCAGCCATCCTCAGTGTCACAATTTCCAGAAGGCAGAGTCCTCCTCAATAGGAAAACTGGAGACATCTAGTGTGACTGGGGTCCTGTCCCCGGTGCATCCAGGATGGGCTCTGAACACCTGCTGTCCTGGGATGAGGCTGATGCTCAGGAATCCCAGGGGGAGTCTCTGTCCCCACGGTCAGCTCAGCCCACTCCAACTCTGAGCTCCAGTCAGGGCTTGAGGCTGATCGGTACCTTGATTCTGGGACCCCAGCCTCAGTGCTGCTCCCTTAGAGCTCAAGGTCTATGGGGGACATGAGAAACACCCTCCCTGTCCTCTCAGCCCTGGGCTGTCCCTCCCTCAGTCACCCCAGTGACACCTCTAGCCAGGCTGCACTCTGATGGAAAGTCTTCTGTCCCAACCCAGGGCCACAGGTCCTGTGACCTCAGACACACCTTCCCCCTTATCTCCACCTTGCCAACACTCATATGTGGGACCTTTGACAGAAACTTCTGGGTCCAGTTGGCCTTGGGTGGTAGATATCCATTCCCATAGTCATGGGTGGCTGAATGAATAAAGGTTCCATCCTGAACATGCTGGACACAGTTGCAGGGACTAGAGCTGTGCTCACCCCAGAGAGTGGTCTGACCCCAAATCCCTCTGTCCTGGATGCTCTGTCTGTGTTTGATAATTTTGTCAGCAGGATGGTTCTGAGTTCATAGGAACAGGCCCCTCAAGGGGTTTCACTGCACCACGTTGACCTTTCCTACCTTGGAGACCAGACACATGGTACAAATAAGTGATTTGAGAAAAAGAATATAAACCCCTATTCTCCTGAGAACAGAAGGCATTTCTGTACCACTCTTTCCACCCAGATTCTCTCCGCGCTAAGCACAGATCTGAGTAAAGTCCACTCCTGATTGTACGTGCATCTTCACACTGACATTGTGATTGAGTTTAAATCAATCTTACTGAATGGACTTATGTATAAAATAGCACGTTCATCTTAAGTATGAGGTTGGCTCCGTGGTGACTGACAGATAAACTCTGTCACTAGGTCCCTGTCAGAGCATCTACAGCTGTCCCTCCTTTCTTCCCAGATTTTCCAGCAGATTTGCCCTTTGTGCTCTAAGGTCAGGGACACACACACTCACGTGGCCGGGCTCCTGCAGACTCGTGTCTGTGCTGGGAGGACAGAGCTGAGGAGGGAATCCCTGCCCAATGTGTGGAAACCTGTTGTTTCATGCAGGGGGAATGAGTGACAGGTGGCAAAGATGTTCAGTGTGTGACCCTCTAGGAATGCACGGGAGGGTTTCTACACACAATCTGGAGGGAAGAGCTCCCCATCTCCTCAGTGCTGTGAGGACCTCAGAGGAAGGAGAGCTCCGGAAATCAGGGAGAAAGCACATACAAGGAAAGTCCCAACATCCTGCACAGAGGGACCCTTTGTCCATGCGGACCTGTCGCTGCTCTGGACTGGACCTTGTTCTAGAAGAGTTTGTGTAGAGATAATGTCTCAGTCCTGACCCAGGAACCGAGAAGGGAACCATGGAGAGCCTCACTGTGAAGACTCTTAGATGAGCATATAATGTGTCCTGACTTAATGGGAGGTGACATATATGGACAACAGGTCAGGCCCTAATGCAGGGAACAGTTGCCAAAACAGTTTTGGGGGGGTGTGGAGATGGGTCTGATGGGCTCTGGTCACCATGTCACATAATGATGTGTCTGAGTCTGGACACCAGGGGGCACTATGGTCCAATTTCTGAGGAGTCAGGGGTGATCAGAGTTGGGCCTGTGACCTGGCCCTGCCTGTGCCCTGTGCTCAGGGCTCATATCTGGGACCTCCCCACCCCTGGGCACACACAGTCCCTCCTCTGCCAACCCCCTCTCACATCCTCAGGCAGAGGGACCTGACCCAGGGCCAATGAGGGGTCAGAGAGCTGGGGGTCTCATTTGCATGGACAGGCCCTCCCTCTCTCAGAGGATGAAGAGGGAAAGGGAGAGAGTAGGGGAGGCTCTGCTCAGCTGTGGGGCCACAGAAGGCAGGATCGGTGATGACCTCCACCATGGCCTGGTCCCCTCTCATCCTCAGCCTCCTTGCTCACTGCACAGGTGACTGGATGCAGGGACAGGGGAAGGGGCCCTGGGAGGACATGTGGGGCCCTGTTTCTCCTCTTGTCTCAAGACCCCAGCATCACCCTGTCTGTGTCTCTCCCCCTTGCAGGGTCCTGGGCTCAGTCTGTGCTGACTCAGCCGCCCTCCGTGTCTGGGGCCCTGGGCCAGACGGTCACCATCTCCTGCACTGGAAGCAGCTCCAACATTGGGGGTGGTAATGCTGTTAACTGGCACCAACAGCTCCCAGGAAAGTCCCCTAAAACCATGATCTATGGTAGTACTGCTAGACCCTCGGGGGTCCCCGAACGATTCTCTGGCTCCACGTCTGGCAACTCTGGCACCCTGACCATCACTGGGCTCCAGGCTGAGGACGAGGCTGAGTATTATTGTGCATCGTGGGATGATAGTCTCAGTGCTCACTCAGTGCCCCCGGCCTGAGGGGAAGGGAGACAAAAACCCACTAACTCCTCTGTAAAGAGGAAGACACACACCAGCGTAGCCTGTGATTCTGCTTATTCTTTTGCTGACGCCCTGGGAGCAGGTCCATCCAGGGGCACCGTTTAAGGGCGAGGTCCGTCCTGTCCCTTCTGTCCTCAGAGTCACTTGGGGCAGCCCATTCCCAGACAAGGAGTCTTCATGGAAACAGAAAGTTCTCTTTTCATCAACTGGGGTATTTAACTTCTGGGCTACATCATATTAACTTTTTCCTTCTGATTTTAAAACAAATCCAACATTTTATTTTGTCTCTGAACAGATCGTGGGATCTCAGCACTCCCCATGTGGTGCTTGAAGAATAACTCAGTCCTGTTGCATCAGAAATTATTATCTGCGTGGCTATAAATGGTGCTGCTGCCTAGTTTTGTCTAATTTCCTGATTTTTTTGAGAAATAGACACTCACTTAGAATGATAAAACTATAAAGGAATCCAAAACTTTCCTCCATAGGAAAAATCTGCACATGAATGTTTGTACCAGTTTCATTCATAATCACTAAAACTGAAAGTGACCGGAAGTCTGTCCATAGAGATTTAGTCCAGGTTTGTATCTAATCACCAAACATGGACCCGAACTGAGATGCCACCAAATAGGCAGCACGTTTCTAAAATGGGAAATAATACATAGTACAGTTAAAGTTATATCACTTTTGGGAAGAGGCAACACTCTGGAGAGAGCGCAAACATCTGCAGTTTCTGGGAGGAGAAAAGAGACAAAAGAGTTGATCATGTGAACGGAGGAAAACGTTTCTGAGCAAGAGAAGGATTCTCTGTGACGCTGTAACGGCAGTGAAATGACACGATGACTCCGTCAGAGTTCACTGAACCCCGTGCAGCCACATGACAGAACCGACGGTTGCAGATAAAACTCCTTAGGGAGGGTCGGGGCCCGGGGTGGAATGCGGACAAACCCCCGCACCTGCCGGACAGACGTGTGAGCCCAGCTCAGGGCCGGGCTCGGGGCAGAGCCGCTGGGCCGAGTGACCGTGCAAAGGAGCGGAGCCCGTCAGGGCAAAGTCAGAAGCGACTGCCCGTGGGCTCTGTGCTCCAGTAGACAGGGCTGTGTCCCGCGGAAACAGGTGGGTTATTTTGAGGGGCCTGCACTGTGTCCTGGAATTGAGCAGTCAAGTCAGTGGATGGGCCCTGGGGAGCCCGATTTCTCCCGGTAGGAGTGGAAAGTCGCAGATAGAACCCAGGGTGAAGCGTGAGCTCATGGGTTCGAGCTGGGGAGGGCGGTTTGGAATCGTGTGTAGTTTGATAGGGACAGATAATTGCCTGTCGAGACAGTCAGTGCTGTGTGCAGGGTCCTGGGTGAGTGACTGTCATATAGAAGCCCTCGGTCTGTCAGCGGGGCGGAAGTACACGCTGGGATGCCCAGAGCCCTGAGTGCATTCCCCCAAATAGTGCTTCCTAGTACCGTTCTCTGGGAAAGGATGCAGGCTGCTTTGCAGAGAGGCTTAGTCCCCAGACCAGGAATTACATGGATGAGCTTGGGGCGACTTCTAGTGTCAGAAAGTGTAGAATCCTTCAGAATAAACACAAGCCCATCAGTGCAGGCCCAGCCCACACACACAGTGACGGGGTGTGTCCAGGAGCTCGTGAGACACTTAAAATGCCCCCATTGGGCAAAACTGGAAAGATTTGAGCAACCGAATAAATGTGACAGTATTAGCTTCTTACTCAAAATTTAAAATAATTGTCCACAGTCCCTATTGTGAAATGGTTGAATAAATGAATAAATGGAGGAAGAGACACATTCCAGTACAGAGATTTCAAGTAACAGGTGCAAACACTTAGCCCGAAGAATATCAGGCATGATTCCCGCTCAGTAAGTGTGGATGAAGTCACTAAAACAAGGGGAATCTGAGAAAGTATCACAGTGAGAGAAGCTTAAGGAGCCATCACAACTAAATGCCATAATGATCCTGAACTGGATCTTAGAACAGCAAAGGGATATTAGGTAAAAATTGAGAAAATCTGAATAAACCATGGTTGTTAATCATTATGGGTTGAACTGTATCTTTATCAATCCATGTGATAAAAGTTCTAAAAAAATCTTGTATTTCAGGAGCTGACTGTATTGGGAAATGCTGTTGTTGCAGACGTAATCAGCTGTGGTGAGACCAGTATGTTTAATCTCATGTTTCACAGTCTTTTTCTCTCTTTGGTTTTCCTCTGCCTTTTCAGTTGGAGTGATGCTGAGATGCATCGCAGTATTTAGGAGAACAGAGCCTAGGAATTCAACCTTCATTGTCATAGAAAGCCCTCATATTATAGACAAAAATCGAGAAAATTCTGTTTTTTGGTTACCGCCAGTCCATGGGACACTTACCAGGTAAACAGGATGAAGCCTAAATGTGGGTGGGATACCTTGTCCTGGGGGCCCCTTGATGCAGGAGTTGAGAAAGAAATTCCAAGAAGAGGGAGGTCGGTTGTACAGTGTAAGGGTTTATATTAATGCTCATACTGAGAACAGTTACAAACCTGGGCTAATGTAAAGGAAAATTAATCGTAAGTATGTCAGAGAGACACAGGAAATAATGAATTCCGAGGTTAACCAAAAAGGGAAAACGAAAACCTAGAGTGGGAGGCATGAACAGTGGACCCATTTTTGTTGAAATTATATTAGTCTCGTGACAAATGCAGACGTCCAATGCCAGGGCCTGTGCACTGGGGGTTATGGGATGTTCCCGGAGACTCTACTAATGTGGCAACACCGATGTCAGGCTCACTGTAAGGATGTACCAGGTGTGAACCAACAGTGAACGCTGGGAAACATTAGGCCACTGAGTGAGTGTATCCTTACAAAATTCTTTCTTTTTTTTAGATTTTATTTATTTCTTAGGGAGAGAGAGAGAAAGCACAAGCAGGGGCAGTGGCAGGCAGAGGGAGAAGCAGGCTCCTCGCTGAGCAGGGAGACTGACGTGGGACTCGATCCCAGGACTCTGGGCTCATGACCTGAGCCGAAGGCAGACGCTCAACTGACTGAGCCACCCAGGTGTCCCCAAAATTCTGTTTCTATGCCTTTCCCAGAAGCAGCCTCTACAACTTCTGCTAAGCAGCTCCACTGTCCCCTCCTCGGCGACACACGTGCCCCCCTGCGCATCTGGGACATAAAGCTTTGTCTAGAAAGTCCTGTAATTGTATATGCACATATTTTCACCTCGCATGGACCACGGCTCCCTCTGGAGTGAGAAATTACAGTAAATTGGGACAAAGATCAGAAACATAGTATAGGTATCCCGAACTTTTGAAACTTCTCTTTACACCTCTTTGCTTTTATGAAATATTTACATTAGTAGCTGCTTTTACTGCTCAAAGCCATCTGAAGAGGATTTTCAGTTTCACAAAAAAATAAGCGCCAACTTAGTTAGCATCCAGCATGAGTTTTGCAGGAGCCTCTCCAGAGACGGTGCACAACCCAACCAGCATGACGGGCGCCTTCCAGCGGCTTCCCCGGGAGTCACACCCAGCAGCTCAGCCACAGGCCACCGTGGCTGTGAACGGTGTGTTATCACATGCGCTTTATCGCCATTCGTATTCTACATCTGACGGCCAAATGTGTCCTTGGGTATCCAAGGAGCCTAGGACTGATTTCTTTTTAAGCCTGGAAACATGCAAAAAAAAAAATTGTGCATATAAGTTAATATTAATTGCTTCTCGCCTTATGCCATCGTGGCTTACTAAGGTTTCTTAGGGATGATGGAGTTTCAGACAGCAGGGGAAACCTGTACTGAGACTTGGTCCATGGAAGTGTGGATCCACAGGGATGTTGGGAGCTGCAGAAATCAGTGGGGCTCTCAGGGCTTTGGGACACAGTGACGGCTGCGCCCGTGACCAGCAGGGGGTGCGGTGGGACTGACCTGTGGTCTCTACATGTCAGCTCAGTGAGGAGCATTCACTCAAGAGAAATGAACTGGGCACTGGCCCTGTGCTCTCTGTTGGGGACTCAGCAGCTGGGTCCCCTCTTGCCTGGCAGAGTCCCCTGAGCAGGGACCCGTGTGTGGTCTCAGCAGGTGCATCCTCCCAGGGCTCTCCCCAGGGCTGAAGCCACTCCCATCCTCCTCAGTGTGCCTGTGAGCCGAGTCCCAGCACAAGGGCTCAGGGAGGGTCTGGGCAGTCACTGGGTGGACCCCGTTTGCATGGAGAGCCCCTCCTGTGGCAGAGGGTGGAGGAGAAAAGGAGGCCTGGGGCAGCCTGGCCCACTGTGGGGTCCAGTGTCTGTGTCACCATGGCCTGGACGCCTATCTTCCTTATGTTCCTCTCCTATTGTACAGGTATGTGCAGGTCTCAGGGAAGCTCAAAGCTGCAGCCCTCAAAGTCACTCTTCCTGAAGTGGGCATCTTGATAAATTTCTCCGTTTCTTGCCCCATTAACGTATGTGTTTGCAGGCTCCCTGTCCCAGGCCGTGCGGACCCAGCCGCCCTCCCTCTTGGCATCTCCGGGAACGACAGACAGACTCATCTGCACCCTGAGCAGGGACATCAGTGTTGGCGGCTCTAATATATACTGGATCCAGAGGCAGCCAGGGAGCCCTCCCCGGGATCAGCTGTACTACTCCTCAGACTCCGAGAAGCACCAGGGCTCCGGGGTCCCCAGCCGCTTCTCGGGCTCCAAAGACGCCTCGGCCAATGCAGGGCTTCTGCACATCTCAGGGCTGCAGGCTGAGACCGAGGCGGACTATCACTGGGCTGCAGCTCAGGGCGCTGGGAGCAGGTATCGCTCCTCACAGCGTCTCAGATATGGAGGAAGTGGGTCTAAAACCTCTGGACCCACGGATCTTGTTTCTGAGCCTCTTTTCAGTAAGAAACTTACCTGGAGAGACATAGCAAGGTGGTCTCTTCTGGACGACGATCTATCCTTCAAGAGGGAACGAGGAAGAGTCATGTAATGCACGGAAAGTGACAGAAAATGGGGGCATCCGAGGAAGGCACAGACACATGAG